GTTCCATCATTGCAGGTCATAACTTTTATCAGAGCTTCTTTTCTATCCAAGCTCATCATCTTTAAAATCATTGTACTAGGCCATTTGATCTTGATTCTTAACATAGATCTGCCAAAAAGTCCCCGACAGTAGGTATGCCAATATTAGAATGCCTTGAAATTTTCACTGCAAGGTTAGTTGGCCCACTGCCCTTAATCTCAGTCCTCTGTGAAGTCTCTGGAAATAAGCAAACTGCATACAAATTTTTCTACTGAAGGAGAATATACATTGGTCCAGGGTTCAAAAGCCAGTGCAGTTCTTGTTCCAAACTGCAGTCTTAGTCTGGTATTTACCAGATGCATGTCCATCCATGTTCTGGTCTTCTGAGCCCTGCGCAGGATCTTCCATCATATTCAGTCTGCACCATTCCAGCACTGCTTCTTCACCTGGCATCTTTAAACATTTCTACATTTTTCCCACAAGCCAGTTCCCAAGACTTCTGACCCTCATGGCCAGCAAGTGTCACAGCAACAATTCCACTTTTTTGAAAGCAAATTCTGATGTAGTTGGAAGGATGCAGCAAATATTATGTTTCCCTTTCTCTTTTATTCCATCCTGGCCCCGTATCTTTGGGTGAGATAAAAGGTGGTACCACACACACCGAGGGTGGGCTTCACATTATCCATACCAGAATTGTATAAACCATGTAGTGGACTATCCAGTACCATACACCTGCAATCCCAGGAAAACACTCTTAATCCACATTCACATGGCTAGATCCAGTCACCTCTGAAAAGCCTCATCTATAATCCTATGAAACTTTGATGGAACTTCTAGATATTACCTATAATAAGGGTTGATTCAAATACACGTGGAAGGCTGGCCAAATAGCTCAGTAGATTAAAGCACTTTCAAGCAGGTACAGGGGCCGGGGGTTCGATCCCTGGGCCTGCCATGCTGGCCCCACCCAGGGAGCACGCTGAGACAGCAATTGAGATTGGTGTGATGGTGTGAGCCTATAAGCTCAGTCTTTGGGAGGCTGTAAATAGGCAGATCACTATGAGTTCAATTTAGTAGTAAGACCCTGAACACCTGGTAGGCCCTTCCCTAAAAATAAAAAATAAAATAAAATACATGTGGAATGTTTATTTAAAAATTATTGTAATAAAAGCCACAATGCCATTAATGATCCTCAAAATACAGCCCCATCAATGTGGAGACACTATTCTTGCCACTTTCTGCAGCACTTCTAGAACTCCTTTTTTTGTCATTAGTTGCACTGTCTTGACTGGTTTCAACTCATTCAAAATATTTGGCTTTATGTTCATTTTGAGCTTAGGAAAAAATCAGAAGTAACATAGTGTTGGGGCAGGGGAGAAAGCTCTGTGGTCTAAGCACTTGCCTGGCAAGTGCAAGGACCCAGTTTTGATCCCCGGCACCACATGTCATGCTGGCCCTGGAACCTCAGGCACACTGTGCCAGACACAGAAACCAGGTGTGGTGGAGCACGCCTGTAAGCCAAAAGCTGAGACTGAGACAGTAGGATCACTATGAGTCTGAGTTGCATAGAGAGCTCCTGTGCCAAATACATACATACATACATGCATACATACATACAAGATTTAAGAAATTAAAGAAAAGAAATAACACAATGACTAATTTTTTCCAGTGTTCAAATTGTGTTGTTCATGTTTTTATTATTGATATTATATATACATATATGTACAACTTTCCAAATTTTTGTTTCGTAGTCTGTCTCATTCTTTGACAGTTGTCTTTTTTGCAGAACAGATATCTTTAATTTTAATGAAGTCCAATAAACCAATTTTTAATGGATTATGTGTTGATTATAACTTAAATGTTTACCAAAATGTCCTCACCATAAACATGACCACCTAAAATTTTTCCTATTTTTTAAGTAGTTTTATAGTATTACATTTTACATTTTGGTCAGTGATCCATTTCAAGTAAAGTATTAAAATCTGTTACTAGTTTTTATTTTTATGTAGGAATCTAGTTTTTCTAGTGGTGTTTGCTGAGTAGGCTACCAATACCACATTTTTTTCATTGCAGTGTCTTCACTGTAAATCTTGACATCAGGTAGTGTGAGTCTTCCTATTTTGTTTTTCTCCCTTAATACAGTATTGTTTCTTCATTTCCCTCTCCTTATAAATGCTAGAGTCAATTTGTTGATAGTAATGAAAGAGCTAACTGGGATATTCATCAGGATTTTCCTGAATCTATTAACCAAATTAGCAAAGACTGAACATCTTGACATTGCTGAATATTGGTATCTGTGTACATGAAGTATCTCTCCACTTGCAAAGTTCTTAGATATGCTTTGTAGATTTAGTGGTAGGAACCTTGTACTTTTTTGTTAGATTTAAATGTTTTTCTGTTTGGGAATGTTAATGTAGATGGTCTTTTTAATTTCAAGTTCTTATTAATTGTTAGTGGATGAGAAAAACAATTGACTTTTGTACATTCATTTTGTGCACTGAAACCTTATGATAATTATTAATTCCAGGAGGTTTCTTTAGCTGAGTTTTCAGGTTTCCTATCAGAATTTCATATATGAAAAGTCATACTTAGATTTCTTTTTGCCAAATATGTGTACTTTTAACTTTTCTCTAATTGTAATAGTAAGGCTTTTCAGTACAGTATTGAAAAGGAAGATTAGAGAAGTTGTCTATTATTTATAATTATCTTGAAGTTTCTGCATTTTTCAGGATTATGACATTAACTCTTTTTTAAAAATAGATGATCTTTACCAAGTTGGATAAGCTCTCCTTTATCATTATTTTGAAAGTTTACTATTATAAATGCTTACTAGGGGCCGGGGACATGGCTCAGTAGGATAAGCGCTTGACTGGCAAATGCAAGGATCTGAGTTCAATCCCCAGTTCCACAAAAAAAAAAAAAAAAAAAAACAAAAAAAAAAAAAAAAAAAATGCTTACTATTATTATAAAAGTTTACTGTTATTGTGTCAAATGCTTTTTTTCATGTCTATTATACAACCAAATGAGATTATTAAATTATTAGTTGATTTTCAAGTGTTGTACTATCTTTTCATTTTTGAGATAATCCCATTTGGTAGTGTTGTATAACTAATTTTATACATTCCTGAATATGATTTGCTAATATTTGTTGAGAAATAAGATGAGTTAGGAAATATCTCTTTTTCCTGTATCTCTTGAAAGAGTTTATAGAGAATTGATAAAATATTTCTTTAACTGGAGAATCACAATGAGTTTGATCTACCTAGTGAGACCCCGTTGACCCTGCATTAAACACACACACACACACACACACACACACACACACTTCTTTAAATGGTAGCAGTTGCTACTGAACCCATTTAGACTTCATAACTTCTGTTTTAGACTCATATTGACAATTGATTCAATTTTATAGATATATCACCATTGAAATAGTATATTTTTCCCTATGTAAGTTTTAGCAAATTGAGTCTTTCAGGAAATTGTTCCATTTCATTTTGTCAAGTTTTAGGAAAAAAACATGTTATTTTATTTGTTTTTTAGTTCATGTTTGCAATACATGAATCCTGGGGAAGCGGTACATGTATACAAACAACTTGCTTCTTCTTTAACTCCCCTTCCCTTCCTGCCTTCCTTCTTTAATTCTCCTATCCACTTTTCACTTTTGTTGGTATTACCCATCTTAGTTTATATGCATGGCATCTAATGTTTGAATTTACTGTAATTATTACGTTCCTATACATAGCATATTTTTCTTCTACTTGCTGTCCCTTCACATCTTCCTCACCCCTTGCCCTTTATCTGTAAACATCACTCTAAATACAGCTTTCACTTTAGATATGTTCAAGTTCATATCTTTCAGTTAGAAATATATTTTAATTTCTCCATAACAATATTTATCTGAGATATCACTTGTCTGAAATTATATTTGGATTTTCAGTTGTCATTTTTTTATTGATTTATAATTTCATTCATTTTTTCATTGCCTAAGAGCACACGTGATATGTTATGTTATTTTAAGTTTTTTTCTAATGTTTCATATCCCAGAATATAGTTGAGTGGAAACTTGAGAAGAGAGGTATCAGTTGGTTTGACTTGCCAAAAATATGACGGAGTTGCTAGAATAGGTGTCTGTGTTTGTGGACAAGTCAGACCTTTCCTCACCCTTGCTTTGTGTTCAGGCTGAAAAGTATGTTTGATTGGCTGCCATAGCTTCCATGGGTTTCATCAGTTCTGTGTCATTAAGCCCTGCTTTTGCTATTCTGTGTGTTCTTTGAACTTCCTTGGTGTTTCCAGTCAAAAACAGCAGCGCCCAGTTATGAGCTACTAAGTTTATAGACTGTTGTCTGGCCAAAAATGTTATTTGAAATTGGTTTGACTTGCCAAAAATATGATGGAGTTGCTAGAATAGGTGTCTGTGTTTGTGGACAAGTCCAGGTATTCCCCCGTCTGTTTCCACAGAGCTCCCTCCTGTTTCTGGATGCTGTTCTAAGGGTTGATACCATTGCTATTGTTATTCAACCTCTGATGTTTTAGGACTCTCTCTGGAGTCGTGGCATTCCTCCCTGCCTTCTTATCTGAACAATCTGTCAAGGTATTTTTCCTTATAGATTTGTATTTTGATAAATGTATTTAATTATAAATATGTATCTATGTACATGCATTTGTAAATTATTTATTGCTTCATTATAAGTGATATGTAGTCTAAGCTTGCAATTTTTTCATATGTCTTGACTAAAAAAGATAAATGCTTTTCTAGATGGAAGTGATCGATGTATTATTAATGTTAAAATTATATGTTTTCAAAATAAATTTCCTTTTAAACAAATTATGCTTGTGCATTAAATTAATCAGTGTTCCAGATTTAATTCTAAATTCTTGCTAGTTAATATAAAATATTACAGAGACTATGCTTATTTTCAGTGTCTTGAAAGATTCACTTTTACTCAGTTGGATGAAAAATACTGTATTAGTTTACATACTGCTGATTTACTATATCACCTTTATGTACTTTCTTTCAGATGATTTATGCCATTACAACTGATGGAAAAACATGGACCCTGCATCTCAGAAAACAGTAAGATATGACTTTCTTTTTTGCATAAAGGGAGAAATTTATGCTTAGATGTAACTTTTACAGATTTTATGGAGAATTTCAACTCAGGAATGTATTAGAATGCACACTTGCCTATGATTCCACTTTCTACTTTATGATTCATTCGATCTATGAAGCTCTTGTGTTTTTATTAAGAAATAACTGACATAAACTTGGGCGTGGTGGAGGACTCCTGTAATCCCAGCACTCAGGAGGTGGAGCCAAGAGCATTGCTGAAAGTTTGAGGCCAGCCTGAGCTATAGAGTGAGTTCAAGGCTAGCCTGAACTGTATTGTGAGACTTTGCCACTCCAAGAAGAAATAGGCAACATAATTGGGACTATTCCATTGAGTATAAGTTGTTGAAGTCAAGAACAATAAGTTATTTATTAAATATATCTGATGTGAGAACATATGAAGTTACTTATTAAGTTGTTATTGGTAGTAAATTCAAGAATTGGTGTGTTTCTTATGTGTTCATTAGACATGTGTTTATTTTTAAGAACCTGTTAAAGTATTTCATTTTCCAAGTAAGGGATTTCAGTAACTTTTGCAGTGCTGTGACCAGTTGCTCCAGGCCAGTGGTAGAACATCTTAGAGCATTTTTTCCCTCACATAAGGGCCCCATGTCATTTCAGTTCCTGTCTGTGCACACCCACATTCTAAGCAGAAACCCACCTGCGTTCTGTATTCCAACCTGCATTCTCTTAACAATTCACATTTAAAAAGTCGAAGAGCGTCTCCCATACCGCAGCTTTCGCAGCAGGTCTACAATGCCTGTCATGGACATCTCACTACATCTACCTAGTTGGCCAAGGCTGGGGCACGTTATTCTCACTGAATTTATGACAGCCCCTACTTAATTCAGGCCTACTAAGTTTATGTTGGTCTCTCTCACTTCTAACATCACTAGAGAATATTTTTGGGCAAGATTATCAATGTTCTTCATGTTTTTTTAATGTCATGCTTGTTTTCATTGTTGCATTTTTCTTCACTAATGGGCAGCATGCAGCATTTAGTGTAGCTACTCAGTGTCTTTTCCCTAGAATTACTTGCTTCACTGAGCCTTCAGAATATCATGGACATCATGTCTTGGTTTGATTCCTACCATTATTATTACCTCTTGTGTTTGTATATCTGTCTTTTTACAGATTCATCCTCATTTCTCTTTGTAGAAAGCATTATGGTACTGTTCTAAATCCTTAACAAAATGTATTCAATCACCTAGTGACTTCATGTGGTCTTGTGGCTTTAAACACCATTCCATGTGGATGGTTCTTAAATTTGCATCTCTATTTAACTTCTTCCAGTGGTTGTCTTATTTGTTTGTCTTATTTTACTTATTTCATGATTCAGTGTGTACTAGAACTCATATAGGTAACATTTTGGAAGGCAGCTATGCTCACCACTATACCACCAACGCCACCCATAGGTAATGTTTTGAAAAATAAGTTTTCATCCTGTTCTCAAATTTGTATCTCCCACAGTCATCTCAGTAGGTTCTGTTCTACTTTCTCAGTAGAAAAAGAAAAATATATAGAAATAAAAGACACCCTAGAATCATTGTTGACATCTTTTGCCTTTTGCTTTCCCCCAGATCCAACATAATATTAAATCCCATGTGTTCTGCGTTGCGCTGGGCCTGTGTCAAGCCAATGCTGCTGCAGTGGACCGCGCATCTGGTCTTGCTGGCAGTGACAGCCTTCCAACAGAGTTGCTTACTTCTGTGACTGCCTTGTAGGTTCTTCACACAGCACTGAGTCTGATTCTCTTACAGTACTGTTGTGCCGCCTTTTCGTTTGCTCAGGCTCTCCACAGGGGCTCGTCTCTGGGGGCCACCCTTTCTCCGGAGTCCCTTCTTCCCCTGGGGCTTCCAACACCTTGCCTGTAGCTCTTCTTTGTGTATATTTTTGCCAAAAAGTAAACTGTCTATAATAACTTCTCTAGGTGAGAAGCACGTGGCATTTCTGTCACATCTTTAATCATCCATTCAGTGCGCCTTTTTTTCATACCATGCTATGTTCATTTTCCTGAACATCCAGATAGTCCCAGGCCTAGTTGGCTGTCATCCAATGTGCTGCCTAATTGTCATAAAGCCAGGGTTTTTCTTTTTGCTCCTTACTGTAAACAAGCTTCCAGAAGAGTGACTATCATAGAGTAGATACAGTACCAAATATTTGTCATCTGAAGACATAAGCAAGAAAAAATACAGGAGTCAGAGTCTTTTCCACTGTAAAGAAAGCTCCCTGATTCAGTAGTTGTATCAATAGCAACCACAGTGCCACAGAAAAATACCTACTAAAATCATTTATCATATAAACTCTAGAAGTTAACATTTCTTTTTCTTATTTTATTGTTTATATTCACATTAAACACATAACTTATCTTTTATTTATGGATTTATTTCTAGCTCATTCTTATCCCCCAATTTTACGGCTTATGTCTATAATGAAACTGGATCTTTGTACTCTGAGTCTTCATATTTTATGGTAAGAATCACAGAGCTTAAACATTTCTCATTATAAATTTATTATTGTATGTTTCTCTGTTAAGATGGAAATGTCATTGCCCTTAGGTTATTTTGTTTCAGATTGACACTTTTATTAATTTTTATTTCTAGATTCAATGTGCTTTATCGTATCAACAAAACTCCCTTTTAGTAGCATATTACCTTTGCCTTTTGAGTGCTTTATTCATTTGTCTCACTTGAGATCTGATTCTCCAGAATCTATCGATGAACAATTTGTTTAATTGCACATCTACAGCATCACATCTTCGATGATACTCAATGTTAGTTGACTTGTTTATTGTATATCATATATCGTTTTCATTTAAAAGCACATAACTATGGTAGTTTAGGAAGGAAAGGAATAATATTATCTGTTCCTTCACCACTCAAACTAAACTCTTATCTTTTTAGGGTTTTTTTTTGTTTGTTTGTTTTATTCCATGTGAGGCATTGAATCTTGTACCATGAATGGCTAGACAAGGACTCTGCCATTGAGCTATTTATCATCCTCATGTTGGAAAATGTTTTGTTATATATGACTCTGATCTCTTATATGGTTGATTGTTGTACATAGAAATGTGACAGGGGTAGGTCCCAGGTATAAAAAGAATATTCATGAGTTTCCAGGTAGTGAAACATGAGAGTTATCAATATATTTTTTTCAGAAGAATTTAATTGTGCACAATTGACAGCATTATTATGAAATACTTTGACTTCTGGAGTCTTCTGAAGTGTGTAACAGTGTGTTTTTATTCATAAGAATTTGTGCATGTTTACTTCTCCATGTTCTGTTTCCAGATGCATTGCCATTACCAAGGATATGCTGCCGAACTTCCAGATTCTGTCGTGACACTCAGTGTCTGCTCTGGCCTCAGGTAATAACTCCCTGGAAGGTAATGACACATGGATAAGGCAGGATGCACTTTAAAATAAATGTTAATGGGTAGCAGGCACAGATCAGGAAAATTCCAGAAGCTCCTTTTGTGATGGCCATGCTTTTACTTACATCAAGGTTAATACCTGGGTGGAAATTTCCATTCAGATGAAATGAATCCTGGGGTTTCGCGGTGGAGATTTTTCCAGTATATTGGATAAAAAGGGATAGTTTCATAAAGGAGGCTTTAGAATATTCCTGTACATGTTACTGTTGGTTTCTCTATCCTATCTCAAATATGGGAGATGGATCCTAATTAGTTATTTAAATATAATAGGCACATTCTGTATGATTTCAGTTTAATATGCACTAGACAAGAATAACTTAGGAAACACCTCACAGTTAAACAATGGAGATAAGTTATTTTTAGCACTAATGCTGAGAAACTTGTCAATGATCTGCCAGAGGAAGAATGGGCCAGAGTACAGGAAAAAAAGACTCTTTCTAACTTCCTTTTCATGTTAATGTCCACTTTCCAGAGATTTTTGTGTGAGTTAAAAACAAACTGGTGTTCTGTGCATGTGATTTTTATGCTTATCAACCTCTCTAGACTTCCGTTCTGCCTATCTACTTTCACTTTCTTATAACCTGTGTAAAGGCAAGAACTTTATATTTGGAATTCTCAATACATATCTCAGTTCCTATCAGGACATGGCGTTATTTAATATATCTTGTATGACTGCAATTGCTATCCAGAAATTAGAGGAGTATACTTCACTGCATTTCATTCTTCAAGATGCAAGCAAAATTAAAGCAAATATGTTGGGTGATGCTTGTAAAAAGTAAACAGGAAGATAGTGGACTGAAAATGTAGGCTTCACTATGGTTCCTTATTTCTCACAATACTTCAGATTATAGTTTTGGTGGTATAATTGCAGGATTTTTAAAATAATTATTGTTTCTCTGAATGGTCAGGGGATTGCTGCAGTTTGAAAATGTCACCTATGCAATTGAACCACTGGAATCTTCAGTAAGATTTGAGCACATAATTTATCAAGTGAAAAATGACAACCAAGATATACCAGTGTTAACAAGAAATTACAGCAATATTCAGCAGAAAGACCAGCTCTCTAAAGTTCATTTAAACCCACAGGTAACTATCATATTGATGTAATGACCTGCCAGGAAATTATTCTTATAGATTATTTTTAATCATTACAGGAGACTAGTAAGCTGCTGAATAAAACAACATTTATGTTTTCTTTCTGTATTTTGAAATAAATATAGATTTCATATACAATACCCAGAAAATTATATAGGTATTATGTTTCAAGTTTGTTTTATGATGAATTATACACTATTTCTTTAATTTTTGCATTTTTAAAACAAAATAGTTATGATTTAAACAATTAGCAATCCACAAAATTCAGAGTCATTGTTGTTTGCAGTAGCCTGGTAAAACTGTTTTTTGTTTTTTTTTTTTTTCTTTTCTTTTCAAAGTTTTATTGATAAACATATAGCAATGAGACAGTTTCAAATCAAATCGAAAGTACAGT